ACCCCAGAAGTGTTCGTGTTCTCCAGAGCCTCTTCGGCTTTGGGAGAAGGAAATCTCGGTTAAGTAACTCAGACCTGGCAGAGGAGTTAGAGACAGCTCTAGGTTCGCTTATACAGTACGTGAGTAAACAGAGGAAAAGAAGCAGGACAACCAGTGAGTGAGTGGGGCCGTCGTTTCCAGGTGTGCCTGCCTCACAGTGCTCTATTTACATAAATTACAGAAATTTCATATATATTTTTTCTCTGAAGCCCAATTAGACAAATATCTACCTATATATAATATAAAAAATACAGAGATTTGACTTTTTTTTTTTGAAGTAAAATGTACATGATCCAACTGTGAGCAGGAGGTAAACCTGAAAACTCAGGCCTGTTGCTACTGAAGTTAACACCGCACACAACACCGCTGTCAAGTGTAGCTACGTACTCTTCCTCCAACCCATAAAATGATCCACCCCAACCCAAGGCAGAAAAACAACCCCCAACCAACCCAGAACTCAAAACATGTTTCTGATGGGAAAAAAAAATAAAATATTTCAAGTAAAGATGAAGATGGGTTTCACCATTTCAACAGTTCCACGACATCAGTCAGTAGCAACGCAAACGCAGCCTGTGCAACGGCAGCTGTGCTTCCTGTTTCAAAAACCACCCATGCATCCCGCCCCTCTTCATAGTTACCATCTTTGGGGTCTTGTTGCTTTTTTTTTTTTTTCCTCCTCCTCCTTGGAAATACCACTAGCAGTTCTTGAAAGAACAAAATAAAAAAAAAAATCTAGACAAAGGGAAGAAGCCTTCCCCCCAGAAAAAAAAAAAAAAAAACAAACAGATCTTCCCAGGAGTGGGAGAACTTCCCGTTTTTTTCTCTGTCCATTTACAGTATTTCAGGGGAACTTGGCCCAGGTCCAACAGGACTGTCCACTGAAGGAGGGTCGCAGAAAGGCCAGGGCTCAACTTTGCTCTTGGCAAATTAAGAGTCTTTAATAAAGAGTAACATGTGCAAAAAAAATTAAATAGATCAACCCAGGTTTCCAGAATTATTGTTGTGAGAATGCTTACGTTCTATTTGTGTTCTTACCCAACCCAATGCTGAAATCTCAATTAAGTACCCGAGGTAAAAAGTGACATTTGGGAGAGATCACCACAAAGAAAAAAAAAAACAAACCACCAAGAGGTGCAATCTGTTACCTCAGTGTCCTTCCTCCACCCAGATGCCTGCTTTGAAGATATGTATGCAGCAGCAAAAAGGAAAAAACCAAAGTGTAAGAATATCCCCTCCTCTCTGTGAGGATAAAGCACTGTTTCTAGTTGTTTGAAGGAAGAATTGTTTCCTAACAGGTGGAGTGGACATTCAGCCTTCCGTTTGCAAGAAGGGGATGGGACGATCAGCTGCTCCCAAGTTGCTTTCCGGCAAGTTTGTGGTGTTCTTTTCCTCCGGGCACATTATAGCTGGAAACCTTCCATGGGGGCTTCGGGCTGCTGGAAGATGAATTGCTGCTGGTTCTCGTCTACCTGGGGAGCTAGAGCGGAGTCATCCTCTACTCCAAAGTAGTGCTCAATCAGGTCAAAGGCCTTCTGGTAGATCTCCTGGTTCTCGTGGCTCTGTAGGAACTCTATCTTATCCAAACCTTGGAGGGGAAGGAAAAAAAAAAAAGTGGAATGCAATGAAACAAGGAGATCCCGCTATTTACAGTCCCACATCCACCCTCAACCCTCACCCCTATTTGCTGCAAGACCTTTGTGTTAGATGTGCATTTTGTGAGCAGCGCTGGCATCCAAAGCTAACTGTTCCAGAGCTGCTTGTGGATTTCATCCGTATCAGGCAGCATTAATGTCATTTCAATAGTAGGTTTAGCTGACACAGCCACAGCAGATGTGCTCCCAGCTGGAGACTAAGCCAGATTTCAGTGAAATTCAAACAACTGGCTGTGAACAGTTTGGTAGCTGCAGGGGGTAGGGAGGGGAAAGAAGCGGGGCCCGTCCCAGTAGCCTCCAGCAGAAGGGCAGCAACAGCTTTAGCCACCCTAATTCAATCCACCGCCGAACAGAAAGCATCCAAGCACAATACACTCTCAAGAATTTCAAGAATTATTCTTACTGGGAGAATCAGGACACAATGTAACAGCCAGTGAGAGCACAAATCAGACACTGGCAGTGCACAGGGAGTTTCAGACCAAAATAGGAACTGCTCCTCAAAGCTTCAAGAGCAGGACAAAAAAAACCTCCACCAAATTAAGTCTCTCCAGGGAAAAGCTAAGTCTCTCTGGATTTCCACTGTACAGCTACAACTGGGTACAGTTAGAGCAATCTTAGACCCAGAAGTGTCACTTTGTTTTACTTAGCTCAGCTTATTTCTGATTAATACTCCCAGCTGGTGCAAGGCACAATTATCAACTTGGCCTCCAGGTCTAGGGAGCTTGGATCAGGAGTATGGTCATTTTTACTTCCAAGTATTTTGCCCTACGCCCAGTTGTAAGAGCCTAACAAGACAGACTGTCAAAACAAGTATTGGCTAGTTTAGAATATGTTAAATTCTTTAACACAGCAGAAAAGCAACCAACAAAACTAGCCAACACCTTTCAATGCATCCTCTGGTGTTCAAAGTCAGTAGCACCACGGCCACCACCTACCATAGGCCTCCTCAATCAGGCTACAGTAGGGGTTGATGCCTGTCCCACTCTGGTTGGCTTCCTGCTCTCCAAGCCTCAGGATGTTCTCCAGGCCGTTCAACGCCACCTGAACAATCTTGGAGTCCATGACAGTCAGCAGGTCACAGAGAGGCTTGATACAACCCAAATTGACCAAGTATCTGAAGAGAGAGCACCAACAGCATACACTTGTCATTTAGGATCTAGCAAGCATCACCTTTACTCAGAGAGAGCGAGAGGAATGAGTCTAAAATACAAAAAGTTACCTTACAATGTATTTTTAGTGTTCTGCCAGGGTTAATTTTTATCCACTTATTTGCATTTGTATACACACCCCCTCTTTTAAGAAACCTGCTAACTCCATTTGAAATCCAGGTGCTACTCAAATCAAGTCCACACTGGAATTTAATCCCTCATCAAGTCTGGACATTTAGCCTAGTCTAAGCTATCTAAAGGTGGGGGGGAAGTAGTTTGGACTGGCTTAGCCTTACTCAGAAGGAAGCTACAATTTACAGCACAGTATACAATATATACAGCACCCAGCTACAGCTTCGCCCACATCTCAGGTACGCTCTCAGACATTCTCCAATTACTCCTTTTCTACCTCTCTTGCAGTTCCCATAAAGACACAGCTACTGTGCCTTCAGACAGATTTCCCCTAAGAGGAGCCACAGGGAGTACCTGATCTGTTCGGGAGTTCCTCCTGACGTTGCGTTTGTAATAGCCCATGCTGCCTCTTTCCTCGTCCGGAATTCTGCTTTCTGCAAGATTTCTATCAGTACCGGGAAAATGTTTGCGTCTATGACTGCCTGGGGAGAGAGAGTAGCAGGAAGCGTTTGAATTGGCAACACGGTCTAAAAGACTGTTAAGATCCAGATACAAGGAAGAAATTCTTTACACTGAGAGTGGTGAAACCCTGGCAGGGGTTGCCCAGATTGGGGGTGGAGGCCCCATCCCTGAGAACATTCCAGGCCAGGTTGGACGGGGCTGTGAGCAACCTGATGTGGTTCAAGGTGTCCCTGCTCCCTGCGTCGGGGTTGGACTGGATGGCCTCTAGGGGTCCCTTTCAACCCAAACCATTCTATGATCCTATGATTTTCCAATGCAAAAGAACTTTCCAAGCTATACCCTTCAGCAATTTCTCCATTTTATTCCTCAGACAAATCCTATTAACACGAGATTCAATTCCATAACCAGCACAGCAGACAATCCCTATTACTGCATCAATACTGTAGGAACACTTTCATCACTTATCTGCCTCTGTATGTAGGTCATTAAAAGGATAATTAAAACTCAACAAGCTCCAGCTTTTCAAAGGGGTATCTCTAATTGAGCATGGAGAAGTAGGGGCTGTATCTCCTCTTATTCCAAGGAACAATCCAACCTGTGGGACTCCTTTCAGCCTAGTCTTTGTTGGTACAATTAACAAGCTTTTTTTTTTTTTAGCTCATTTGGCAGATGGCTTGGGAGCAGCAAATGTGCAAATGACTGCAGAATAAGAGATGTGAAAACCAGCCTCTAAGTGTCAGATAAGGAAAAAAAAGTTGCAAATCTTTAATGCTGAGCTTGGAATCCAGGATCATTACAGATGGGCTGGAGACGACTGTACCTGTATTTGTGCTCTGTTTCCTGCTGTGATGTTAGATATAGTCCAGCAGGCTTCTTTCCTGATTGACTCCTTGGGACTGCTTAATAAATGAAGTAGACAAGGCAAGGCTGAACAGTTCAGAATCACCTTTTGAGAAAGAATACAGAAGTGAGATCACAGCTATCAGGTACAGAGCTAAATGCTTTCGATTTTCACACGGTGAATGCGCTATACGGGCACTGCATTTCCCCGCAAGTCAGTCATTCCCCCTCACCTGGGTCTGGATGTCGTCCCCCGTCACAATGTTGCCAACCGCTCGCAAAGCTGGGGAAGCCACTTTGTAGTCATTGTGCCTGCAGGAAAAATGGTGCGAGGACAAAACATCTGTCAGATCACACATGCCTGGATATTCAGAAGATTCTCTCCCCAGTATTTCATCTGCGTCATTTACTTACAATTCCATCCCCTAGCATATAGAAACATACAGCAAGTTGACCATATTGCCACTGAATAAGCAGAGACTGAAGACAAACTTGCAATACAGACACATTTTCATCCTTAACATCCTAACTCCATCTTCAGGTTAATGACAGATCTCACCTTTCACATCGCCTTCCTGAACAAAGATGATGTTAACCTAACGAGAACACCCAGAATTTTTCAGGATAATTTTGGAAGCAAGTACCTTGCAGTTCTACCAATTCTGATGATGTGAAAGAGGCCCATTCAAACTGCACACAGCAAACATTTTTGTCCGAGTTTCCATATAGATATCAGAGAAACAAAGCCAAGCTGACTTGTGCTAGACACTCTTCTTTGCCACACTTGGTTTGGACTTGATGATCTTAAAGGTCTTTTCCAACCAAAGCGATACTACGATTTGCCCAGTAACTAGGCTTCCATAAGCATATTTGAAGTCTGAGAGCAGAAGACTCCCTGCAGTCCTCTCTCCTTTCAGAGACTGTCAGTCCAACCTCTAAGTTCTTCCCAGCCACACTATTAACTAGCATTCCAGCACTAGAAAATACTCTGCTTCTCTCAGAAAGAAAAGCCAGTAAACTACAGCTCTTGACTGGCTTCAGACCCTCCTACATAACTGCTCCAAAGTCAGCTAAGGTACCCATTACCCAAATCCTGTGCCCACAGGAGGTGGAAAGAAGGCTCTGATGGGTTTTGATACGAACTCATGCTCAGTCACATGCTTCCCAGTCTCACTGGACTGAAGGAGTGAGACAAGATACTTACATTAACAGCTCCACCAGTCGCCGACACACTCCCGAGTCAATAACTGCTTGAATTTTCTCATTGGGGCCATCTGATAAGTAGGAAAGAGCCCAACACGCATCTGCCAGCAAGTCAGAGTCACTGTTGAATAATAATCGGGACAACACTGGCAGGCAGGGAGATACCTGCAACAACAGCCACCACCCCAGGTTAGTCACATTCTGTCAAGGCCCACCATATTTGCATGCAAACACCACGTGGCTACACTGACTGGCAAGGCAACAGGTCCTGAATGTCCAGAGTTGCCATCCCCAAAGTCAGCAGCTTCCTTGCTGGTTCACATACCTCGTAATCAGAGAGCCTAAAGTTACCTCAACAGCTTTATTACTAAAATTACATCCCTTCCTCTTGGACCAAGTCTAAACTCTCGAGACAAGTGCTACCATTTGGAAGCTCCTTACATTTCCTACGTAAGAGCACTGCTTAATAACCCTAAATAGCTCAGTATTCAGAGCAGCAGCCATCAACAGTTACACCCCTGAATACCTCAATCATTTGCAAGTGGTTTTCACATTTACACTCAACTCAGATTTCACCCCTCACCACCAGCTTCCCAGCTTTGACACATGAACTTTCATTTAAAAAAAAAAAAGTGAAACACATCAATCTTGGAACATTTTTGTTCTACCAGAGAAGGATGGGACACCTGAAAGGCCAGCAGAACCTTTGGTTCATGTCAGTAGCAAACCAGGGAAGAGGAAAGCTACCACAGCTCCCATGTAGCTACAGGAGTCCTGTTTTGTAGCATTTAGAGGCCTCAATCAAGTTTTTAGTCACAATTTAAGTGAAGTCTCAAACTTCCAGAGTTCATAACAGGGTTCAGAGAAGCCCACAGTGTATGCTATCTTGCAGGGAAGCCTGGGCTTGCCCCCTCACTTCAGGGGTCCAGCAGATGGGCTGCCAATAGAGCCAGGCAGAAAATGAAACAGGCTTTCAAGTATCTGCTGAACAGTAAGATCAACCTCACCCGGAAGAACCTCACCCTGTTCCCTCCCAGAATGACAGCCAAAAATAATTTAGACAAACATCTTAACTGGGTGTCTCCCCATCACCTGTCTGCCAACAAGGCATTTATTCTCACCTTATCAAATTCAGGTGGTGGACTCTTTCCTCTGCACAAGTTTGACAAGGCCCAGACAGCATTTCGTGTCATTGTCAACCTGGTGGACTTCGTAAGGAGCCTAAAGAGACAATTACCATGAATTATAATCCTTGATGTGGAAGCCAGCAAGGGAATCAAAAGAAGGAAAACTAGAATGATACTAAGGAAATCAAACCACTACTCCACTCACTGTAGCTCAAGCCATGCTGCTTGTCACTTGAGCCTCTCAATAAGCAAGAAGAGAAGGGACATGCAACTACTTCTTAGGATAAATAGCTATTATTCCTAACAACATCAAGTGACATGGTTCAGGAAGGCAAGTTCCACATTAGACAAGTTGCAGAGGAAGGGCACGTTAGTCTAATGCAGTTCCAAGTTCAAATTCAGCCCAGGCAGACACTCGCACCCCTATCTGAGGTCAGACGGTCCTCACTAGAGGCCAATTGACACAAACTGCTGTCTCTCATCTCTAATGAGGACAGCAAGTCCCATGGGCTGAGGTCTTCAGTCAGCAATCGCTGTGGGCAGGTGACCAACAGAAGTAGCAGTGTAACAATCCAAGTCACTTGTGACAAAGCATCAGTTTGCCAAGGACAGGATAAAGTAAAGATTAATTCTTTGCAGAGCAGTGAACAGTCCTTGAGAGCACGCTCCTGACAGATCTTCTGACTGCGGCAGGTATGCACCACATTTAAGAGCTGCAGAGGCAAGCTGGGTGCAGAGTCCTGCTCCCCTTCCTTAGTCCTAGAGGAGCCCCCTCAGGCAAGCACCTGAAATCCACAGCATAAGCACAAAGAGCAGGCATCTGGAGGGATGCACAGTGAAACAGCAAGCCCTGTGACTTCAGAAAGCCAAGCACACTGCAACAGCACCCACTTCAGATTCAGAGCAGTGTAAAGGTTTGTGAGAAGGCATGTTATCTACCAAGTCCCGCTCCATTTATCAGATACTTGTCTGAACTGCCAGTTTGTCTGGTACCAGTGGTTTGATTCCCAGTGAACATCACCACACATTGCTCGGGAATCTATTCACCCAGCTCAAATCTTGCTCTGCTGCAGTACAATGGGACTTCAAGAACTGTTTTGGCAAGTATTCATGGCTACTCACATTAATAAGGGAGGAAGAATAGCGCAGTTAAGGACATAATCTCTACACACAGAGCTGTCTCCAGCAATGTTCCCCAATGCCCAGACAGCCTGAAAGGAAACAGCAACAGTTTTAGCATTCACGCAGTTTCTGAACAGAGGAAGAAAAGGGTAGTGTGCTAAGAAAGCATTTTCCTGTAATTCCAGGCAAACGATACTTCAATTTGCGGTCTGAAGCCAGTTGTTAGACACTGGCCACTCATTTTGAACACTGCATTTTAACCATGTGCAATCTACTGTGGTTTCCCTAATCCCAAACGAAGAAGTGAACCTTACCTGTTCTTGAACATCCTCAAAGTCAGAGTTTAATAGCTCTATAAATATAGGAACTGCCCCAGCCTCAATTACTATTTTTGTTTGTTGGGAAGTTCCTGATGCAATATTCGTCAGTGCCCACGCTGCTTCAAACTGAAACAAGCAAATAAATGACAAAAGTATGAATAAAGTAACTCTGAGTTAGCAAAGTATTTACCATTAAATTTTGGCTACAGTTCTTTCAACTTCTCCTAAAAAGGTTGAGAGAGCAAGCAAGCATATCGCAACAGAACACCTCAACACTCAAAGGAAAGGATTTTATTTTCCTGAGCAATAAGAAAGCCACATCTGCTAAACGCTTTCTCAGAGGCTACAGCTTCTCAAAGGATTAGCAAGTGAAGACATTACCATCAGTCACATTCACCTATACATCGTTTCACCTATACAACTATTTTCCAGCAAGAAAAGTGAAGACACATGGTGCAGACACACGTGGAGCAGAAAGCTTTCCATGTTTAATGCAGACTAGCCAGTTCTAGCCCACCCTCTCGTCTGGCTGACACCACAAAGATGCCTTGAGTCAAGTGAAGCTGACCAGCAAGTTCCCTGCTTTTGCCACTCATTCTTTTAAACCAAAGAGAGATTTCCTTGCAGTTCTTCTTGGAAGTAAGCCCCTATGATACAGCCTTGGGCCAGAGGGCAGGAAGATAGATGAAGGCAGTCATCAACTCGGATCCAATTCCATGTATGGAAGCGTCTTTAACCCCTACAACGTAACTATAGTTATTACCAAGCTGGAAGGAATCTCAAGAAGCCATCTAGTCCATCCCTCTGCCCCACGGCAGGATCAGCACTACCTCAGCCATTTCTAACACATTTATTCCCCCCCTCCACTGGCTTCCAGCAGAAATATCAGACACAGGAAGGCCAAATTCTCTTCTGCTGCAGCTGAACTATGTTATTTTTGCCAGCATTCTTCCAAGAATTTAATTTAGAGCAATTTTTAATGTCCTTTTTTGCCTAAGCATTACAGGCTACCTTTTTCTTCTCCTACACATCATATAACCTGCATCTTTGGGTTCAAGACATCACTTTTCCCTTATAGCACCTGTGGGTTCAAGTTCCCAAGCTGTGAAGGTTATACAGCTACATGCCAGGGAGAATTCATAACGCAACCTCCTTTACCTGTAGCGTGCAGTTTTCACTTCTTTTCAGGAATTCAACAAATCTGTCCACCACTCCCTGAGTGTTTATCACTTCATCTATTGGAGGATTCGGCTCTGAAATAGCAAGGCAGTGTCAAAACAGTATACAGGTCTAATGCAGGGTAATAACAAGCTTGAACTTTTACTGAATTGAATGATCTCAAGCTGGACAACTCTCCAGAATCACTGTACAATTCATACAACTGTAAATCATTAGCAATATACTAGATCATCAAGTTTCCAGATTATAACTTTCTTCCCCCCAGCTCCAAGCTGCTAAACTTCTGTATAGCAATACAAATGCTTGCAAAAGAAAGGCTATGTCAGATCCTACGGCGGGGATAAGATGAGTTATTTTTACCTTTGGAGAGTAGCTTCCTGAATTTCTGAGTGGTTGCTAGCTGTAGGTCAGGGTCATCTGAGAAAAGCATCTCTACCATCTCTCTTGTGATCACTCCCTCCTGAAAAGATGCAAGTGAGAAAGAACAATGGTTCCATTTCACACTAAGATTATTTAAGACATCACAGTCACGACAGCCTACTATGATTTTGTGCTTAGCTAGTAATCCAAAGATTCACAATTTGAGCTTACAGCACACTATTTACTTCCTGGCAGACTTTTCCAGTTCACTGTAGTAACATTTGCAACGTTCTCAAGAAGTGAGAAAACAAAACCATTGAGGTTTGTCAGTTCTGTGCAGTCCACAGCGCTAGATCTACCCGAAGGCACATTTGCAACAAGGAAAGGCATCTTACCCCACATGTCGTGGAACTAACATAGGAATCCACAAGGAGACTATCAAACATGGAGGCATCTTCACTGATCAACTCCACATTTCTTCTTTTAAAGAGCTGGCAGGGAACAAAACACAAGAGTCATTATTAGAAAGCAATGATGAACAGTCTTTATAACTAGACATTCTTGTTTCCCAAATGAGATACCATCAGCTAGACTAAACGCAACCTGAATAGAAAAGTAGTCATTAATAACAGCTCTGCACTCTGAAGACTAGTTTGGCATACAAACCCCAATAACAGAACATGCTAAGTCTTGCCCTCAGATATGCAAATACCCAAGTTGCTGAGACACTGGCACAGGCAAGTGCAGAATTTGACCTAACAAGTTAGGGAAACTGGGGAGAAGGCAGCTTGTAGATGATGCACTAATAGAGCAAACGTTTAGTCTGAGCCACATACACTACCTGGGAATCACCTCTTACTTTCATAGACCTCCAAGCCAAAAAAACCAGCTCAGAGTTAAGAAATACACACAGCCCATACTTTCACTTGCTCTTCTTGCTTCTTGAGGAAATAACCCTATTCACTAATTAATAAAAAAACCTCAAAAAATACCCTTAAAAAACAAGGATCTGTGAACAAAAACCTCTAGTACCCCAAGGACAAAGTGCTTGGAGAGCTCTTGATGTGAGCTACACTCTGTACTAGGTACAAAGAAAAAAAAAGCAAGATCTCAGTTAGAACAGGAAAAATAAGAGGACTGCCAACGAACCTTAATGCACAGATCCTTGAAGATTCCAGTTTGGCAGCAGCACAATCGTGGTTGTGTTAAGGCTGTACACAAGCTAGTCAAGATGACAGTTACCTGTTGCTCTCGTTTCTGTTTGCGCAGTTGAATTCCTTCCTCTTCTCTTCTCCGACGCATTTCCTCGGGATTTAGGGCTTTGTTCTTGTAACTCTTCATTCGATAGTTATCCTTCGCAGGACTCGCCATGGTTTCTGTGAAGAGAAAGAGATACTTGCCTCAGATTTCTTGTCACTCTCTGCTCCTTTACCCACACGTCCTTTCTGACAAGGAAGTCTGTGCACATGGAATAGCTAGATTGAACAGACTTATTTGCAAGAGCTGGTCTCAAACACTGAAGTAGAAGCTTCAAGCTAGAATGTGATCCTAACCTTAGCTCATGTGATATGCTGTTATGGCAAGAGTGTTTCTAGGAAGCCCAAGAGTAGATTTACTCTTCTGAAAGGAACCTGGACCCAACTTCACAATACCAAGGACACTGCCCATGTGAAAGGCTTCTACTCAAGCAGCTTCACCGTCCTCAGGAGGTGCATAACTAAATTCTACTTTGGTTTTCAGCAGAAATAATTTCCCTCATATCATCACAGCATAAATCACACCTTGACAATTTTTTTTCCCCCATACCAGGAGTTTCACTGTGTACGCATGGCCAAAATCCAACAGCACTCACAGCAAACTGAGGCCTTGATTTTATAATAACAATAAAACCACCTTGCAAAAAGCAGAGCTATACATAACATACAGGCCACGTTTGTCCTGCCAGGTTTCTGCAAGTGTTCAGTACCTGACCTACTTATTTTGCTGCTTCATATCTGACTAATGCAGCACTTCAAACTCGATTACTTGTGTATTTGCCTCCTAGTCAGGGAAGTGACACTCCACTATTTGGCACAGTTAAAAGCAACCAGGGCCAAGCAGTAACCCGAGTACAGAAGGATATCAACTCCTCAGCTGCATCCAGCTGCAATCCACTGCTTTGACCATGTCGCCTCCTTTTTGCATCTTCCCAAACTCTCCCTTTCTCCCATTTATGATACAGATTATTTGCTTAACATCTATGCCTTTCTCAAGTCAGGAAGGAAGCAATCATGATACACAGCAAAGTGCCAATTAACCCTGAGACCAACTTCTCCAGAAGTCTGCTGGACACCAGTATCTTTGTTTTCTTCCAACTGCTAAGGGCAGGTGGAAGAAGTGTCCTGTGAAAGTCTGCAGTGCTATCTCCCTACCCCTCCTCTTTAGAGCTTTAAGCACTCCTCAGTCATGTTGCTTACAAAAAGTTTCAGTTTGACTTATCAACTGCCTCCAGCCATTCTGGAGCCCTTCCAAGATCAGCTGGAGAAGTTTCAGACCTTACTGCCCTCCTACTAGGAAAGCCCACAGCCAAGTCAAGAAACGACACATAAAATGTACAAATATCCAACATTTCACTGTTATGGAAAGAAGAAACAACTGGAAGAATTCATATTTTAACAGGAAAGGAAAGAAAATACTGAAAACAGCTGAAAAGACACCAAAGACTGAAAAAGTGAGACTCCATTTCACAGCATTTGCCTTCTAACAGGGCATTCTCTTCCCTAGCTGAAACACCAAGGGGACATTCTTCTGAAAAGCAATAGATAAAAACCCCACACCAAACCCCAAGTTCCTCTGGTCATTTGCAGACACACGTCCCTGGCCAACAGCCCTGACCCCACGCTGTCCACAGTTGTGAAACAGTTTTGAAGCTCAGCAACCAACAGTTGGACCCAGAAACACCACCAGGCTTGAAGAGGTGCAGCATGATAGGTTGCAAGTTTATTGGCACCTCTGAAGCTAAAAAAAAAAAGCTACCAACCACAACCCATCGTCAGTAAAAGCAGTATTTCAGTGCCAGGTTAGAAAGCCTTTTCCAGTAACTTGCTTAGGGCACTGCTATGGAAAAGGCATACAGCCTCAAAACTGCAGGATTGAAGCAATCAAATTACAGCAGGCTCAAGATCTAGCAAGACTTTACAGAAGTTTTACCTTCAGTCCCTTTCCTAAGTACTCCATTTTATAATGTCTGTCCTCAATAAAACTAAGGCAAGAAACCTACTTACAACACTAAACATGGCAGCTGGACTATACCTTGCCGACAGACTCACTGCGAAGCCTGTATTAAACCATTATTTTTTTTCCTGAGTTCATTTCTCCCAAGTCAGAGGTTCAGGGGAATAGCTGGCCTGTTTCTAGAGGTATTTGACAGCACTTTCCTCATTCTACAAAAAAAACCAAACAAACCACAAAACCAAAACAAAACCACACAACAAACATTTACATGGCAAAGAAAAGCAGAGCACAGGAATTATGAAACTGCTCCCACTTGTGCATCCCCTCTTCCCAGCAGCACTGTATGCCAAGATTGGAAGGAAGAGTTTATTATTTTTAACTGAAAAGCAGATAATTTGGAAGATAGAAGGCAAAGAAAATCTACAGGCTTTAGGGGTTTATATCTGATCTTACAGTAGCAAGGTGTGTCATCTGCATATAGATTTTAATTCAGGAAATGTATTTAAACTGCCGCTGTTTTGTCGGTGTATTCCTATTACCACCCCAACGCTAATGGCTGATTCAGCCACTCAAGAGAGTAAGAGTCGCTAGCTTAATTCTGAAGATTACAACAGAATCCCTAACAAAACCAAATTGGTTACCTCCCTTTGGAAAGCTAAGTCTCCCATTAAAAGGTAGTTTTTAAGAAAAGGAGGAGGAAAAAGTGATTAAGTGACTTAACGCTATACGCAGGATTACCAGCCAGTCAGTCATATAAATAGCTAAGTGACACATGACAGTTCAGCTGCCTCCAGACTTGCACAACCCCACTCAGCTGAGCACACCCCGCACCCTGTTCCGGGTGTCCAGAAAACAGGCAGAGACTCTTGGAGCACACTTGGCACACCCAGCACCTTGTAGTTTAAGGCTTTGTATTTCCAGAGCATCAAGGACACTGTGCTACTCCAGGGAAATCCCAAAGATACAACCAGCCCCCAGAGTGCTTTTTCACAATGGCTGTGTACCGGCACATCATCCTGCAGCAGTCTCTCTGGCACTTGACCTTTTATTTTCTCTCGCACACATTTATCTCTGCAGTTGATTTCCATTGACTTTTTCCAGTCTATCATCTGTGTCAATACTTTAATATTAGAATGCTAATTTGTTACATTACACCCCATTTCCATGTCAAGCCCAAACACATGAAACAAAACAGACAGCAGGATGCCAGGCACATACAAATCCTTTACTTAGTGTTTCAGTACAATCCAGCTCATCCAGTGTATCTGCAAGTCAGGCTTTGTCCTTAGCTCCGGTGTATCTGCAAGTCAGGCTTCGTCCTTAGCTCAAGCTCTATCAGGGTGAATACCCTCAAAACAATCCCACTAAGTCAGACTGTTGGGGTAATGTGGACTGTCAGATTAGGGAAAGCACTCATCGATGAGTGATGCACAGAAGGTACTCAAGCCACCGATTTTCACTTTGCATCCTAATATTGTTGTTCTGAGAAGTTTCACTTTTGCAAAAAAGTTCTCAAATTGAAAGTGGCAACGGAAACTTAAGCCGAGCAAGGTTCTTTAACTGCTGTCAAGTTTTAGCTACTGCATTTAGCAGCCACCTTAACCTCTACAAAATGCTGTCCTACTGGGACAGCACCTTGCACTGCACCTCTCCTAGGAAAGGTTTTTCTTCCGTAAGAACCAGCTAAGCCCTGCCTTAAATGAAGATAGTATCAGCTCACACCCTAGAATTACAAAATTGTTCTGATGTTGTTCCAGCCAGAACTCTGGGGCTCCAAGCTTACCTGCAGCACTCCAAAGAAGCTGAGCAATAAGGCTTGTTCCTTCTATACCACAGCGGCTCACCCAGAGCAATTTGTGCAGCCTGCAGCTGCTCTGGGTACCCTTTTTTCCCCAAGACCACACCAAACAGACTGCGTACCAGATAAACTCTTCTGGCAGTGCCCGCAGCTTGCTCACCACTTATCTCTCCCCAGAAGCCACCCCCCCGACCATCCTTCCTGGCACAACAGGTACAGGTACCCATCCACGTGACAGGGAAAGGTTACAGGCACCCCAGCAAAGGTGCCTGGGGCACACTGCTGTGAGCCCATCTAACAGCTTGCTGAAGAAAGAGGACAGGCTTACTGCACGTCTTCCAAATATCTCAGTGCATGGCAATGAGAGAGGGATATGCAGGCATTTGGACAGTATGGCCAGACACCACGATCCCAGCATCGTCCCTTCACAACAGGCATAAAGCCATATTTTCACCCCCAGAGCTGCTCAGGCAACAAGCTAAGCTCAACCCTGCCTGCCCAGGTGCAGAAGCACGCCTGTGCGGGAGCAGTACTGTCAGGCAAGGGCCAGAGCTTGCCCTGTTCTACTACAACATCAGCACAGCATGAGTATGTTGTTAGAAAAGAAAGGAAAACAACAGATTAGGACAGAATTAGAACAAGGCACCTCCTCCATCAGTGGAAACAGAAACATAGCTTTATTCAAAACCAGCAAAAGCCAGTCCAGCTACTTACGTTTCAGGCCTTTGCTTGTACTTCATTCCTACCATCCTAGCCTCCTGCTGCAACAGACAGCCTAGTTTTCTAGGAACCTGGTCTCCTCCAAGTTCAGCATCCCTTGGATTATCCTGGAACAGTACAGTCTTTACCCTTTCCTTTTTCACTGGTCAATTAGAACCGAATGCTGAAGTCCCTTTGAAGTCCCCGCCTCAGTATTACACTGCCATTCCTGACCACTGGTTACAGAGGGGCTCAGCGCTTGCCCCAACCTCTTCAGTCCAATTCACCTTCCCTAGGGCAGAATTAAAAACTGCAGAGGTAAAAGCATGCAAAAACTGCATTAAAAACCTGAGTCTGCAGCGCTTCCAACCCATCTCTTCCCAATGCCTCTGCAGAACAGTTCCACAAAACTACAAGAGTTTTAACTCTGTTTCCAAGTATGAAGAACACTTGAGAATCTGCTGCTTACACCAAAACCTCACAGAATTCACTCAAGAAAACAGTAAACTTAGACTTGCAAGATTGACTCCATTTAAAATAGTGTTTTGACCGAGCTTGGATGAAATAATCACTTCTGCTCTAGGAATCCCCTGCCCTCACAGTTCCCCAGGTCAGTGCCTTTTGTAGCCAAGAACCTCCCTGCATTAGTGAGCTTCGGTCACAGCAGCTCCACAGAAAAAAGTGACAGTATTTGCATTTCAATAGTTCTCCTATTGAGCATCCAAGCTCTGCACCTCCAGTCAGATCTGCCAACTATTAGCCCCAAGATGCCAAATCAGATATTGAATTCAGTGCTAAGATGACACATGAAATAGATCTAAGGTTTATCAGCCTGCATATGTAAAGATTTATTTCTATAACCTGAACACATTAACAGCAGGTAACCCCGACTCTGCAGGACAAATTTTGAAATCCATTTGTACATGTTTGATGTCTTGCTTTAATAAAGCACAGCTACGTAAAGCTTTACTCAGGCACCTCAGAGACCAGGCAGATGTAAGGCTCACAAAAAAATCAAAACACTTGCAAGTCCTGGCTCGGAGTGGCTCCTCTGTCCTGAGGAAAAGAGCAGCAATTGGAAAACTTGGGAGAAAAGCCAGAAGGGGAACATGTGCAAAGTGTCAGAAGCATTAGCTTTTATTTCTTAGCAACGTGAGCAGCCACGCAGGGTGACAGTCTCAAGGGAATTCTTAACTCCAGTTTAGTGACAGCTGATGAAGCCACTACCTGACCAGCTATGAACAAGGACCGAGACTGAAACAGGACGCAAGTTTAGATGCATCCCCATGATCCTGAGCCAGAGAGAGACAAGGCCAGTACCAGACAAGGAACTGCTCACTATTAACCAGGCACAAGCAAGTCGCTGCAGTGATCTGCATTTCAGAGCATGAAGCAACTGGCTGCCTTTCCAGGTCCATATTAAGCACACCTGTAAGCCCAATACTGATACACCTTTCAGGTTTGCAAAGTGAGTGAGTTAAAGCACATTTTTATAGCTTCTTTTAGAAGACTTGTTTGCCTACACCCTCAAAACTCACACAACTAAAAGCCCACATTAAGCCAATTCTTCCTTAGTCTCCCCAGAGAGAAAAATTGTCCAAATGGTATTTTAAAGCCACTATCAGATTGTGCTTCCTAGCATATAGCATATCTTTGGCATAGACATCAAGAAGCCCCATGCCAACAATTTCTGAATGCTAACACCTTTGGAATCAAATTAGTGACAAAAATTGGTGCATTAAAACCAAAGCAAGGCTTTATGAAGCTAATAATTCATACTGGAAATAACTTCAGGTGTTCTGTGAGCTAAGAATCCTCTTACAAGAGCTACAGGAGCAGTCCCAACTTTCGGAAGAAGCTTAACTGAGCCATACCTTTTCAATTCCTTGTGCAAAGGAAAGCCCCCTTGGGAAATGGAAGAAATTTGGCTCCTGCTGTAGGTTTTGTTTGCAATGGTTGGCTTCGCTGAGGACAAAAATTCCTCTAGTTGTCATGTAAACCAAATTACCAGCACAGGTTGCCACGCTCATCCTCATATATTGAAGGATGAGAAGGTATTTACCACTTAAAAGAAAGGAAAAACAGTGTGAAAGTTTGACTCTAAAGCTCAGCAGAGCACTCAAATCCTGTAAGCATTTGTGTAAAAGCCAACACAAGCTACAGCAGTTCAGCCAGAAAACTGTAATTCCAGGGTCATTACTGCCACACCAAGATTATAACGGCTTCTTAATGTTACTGGATCAGAAACCCAGCCTCGCTTCTTTCCAGCTGACTGATGCTCTTTCCATTTCTCTGCATTACAAAAAGCATTTGCTTCAAACATTTTTTCAGCTGCTGATTAAAGCCTCCAAGCTGAGTCACTGCAGGGACTCACATGTCTAAATCAGGACTTGTGCTGCTGAGTCAGACCAAAGTGACAGAGCAGAGAAACAGTTATGCTGACAGATCTGACAAGGCCTTTTTTAAGCCAAAACACCCTTTCACAAAGGTACTCTTCGTAAGATACCTATTACAGTTCTGTTGCTGGGCATAAAACACATACCCAAGGCCAAGCCTGGCCAGCCAGGAAGGCTGACAGCTGTGTGTTCGGAGTGGAAAAGGGTAATAGAATTATGCAAGTGTAAATGAATACACTTGATGAACTCCATCAGCACTGATCTGCCAATTAGTGCCCACTGGGTACATTTAAAGGCTTCCCAGCTCTGAGCAAGCACCAGGCTAGATGACCTCCAAGGCCCATTCCAACCTAAGCGTTCCCTGTGATAGTATAAACTCCACAGTTAACAATTAAGCCCCCACCTAAATTTGACAAGTAGCAGCAAAACACACTCGGCGAACTACTAAGTGTCGTTTGCCAAGCCTTACTGACTATATTCTTTGGGTTTCTCCTATCCAGCAGGAAGTTTCTCCATTTCATACGCTTACCTGAAAACACAGAGGAACCTCCCATCTCCTCCTGCCTCCCCGTTTGCACAGGCTCTGAGCTAAATACATATTCCTACAGCATCACACTCCTGCAAGAAAACCTACCAGCAGCACAGGAATGGTTACTGCTCTTTGCTGCCCTTGGTCTCCTCGTATTTTCTCAGACTGACCGAGTTACAAGGAAATAAGAGATCAACCACATCAAATTCACGTAAGTCACCACCCGCTTCTGGGGTGCCAAGGAGGTTCAGACACTGAAGAGGAAAGACAGGACTCCTGCAACAGGGCAGTAAGCTTGGCAGGCGTCTTTCTCCACAGGGTCTGTGTTCAACAAATGCCTGTGCTTTCAACACCATGCCCTCCAGGAACAGGAGACAGTTGAAGTAAACTGATTTAGTAGTAGTAGACATCAGAGCAGTTTGGATCACCCAAAGAAAATGAACCTTACCTTTAGAAGAACAAGCCAGGAGTGCTGAATCAGAGATTTAAGACTCTAGTCATCTCCCCTGACAATGTTAAAACCTACATGTGATATTCAAGCAATAATCTCCAATTACAGTTACTGAGGCATTTCATTTTAAAAGAAATCAAAGCATTTGTGATATTTTTGGACCTGGGGAGGAAGGACCTGTAAGAACATGCCAGTCACCTTCTGAGGCTGCACACCCAAGTCAATAGTGAGCAGTGGACATCAGGCTGACTACATGTCATTGCTTCACGAGCCCGCATTTCTCCAGAAGGCTTAATAGTTAACATTCGTAACTCAAACTCTTTATTTCTGCAGTCAGCTACTCAATACAGCTCTCAAGAACACACTGACAGTGAAACCCTGGAAACTTGATTCAGCATTTAGGTACGGCATGTCAGTTTTGAACGTACTTTCCTTACTGCTATCGCCCACTTAACAACTGAAAAGACAATCTCCAGCCACTTCTTCGTTTATCCTCCCATTGCCTCTTACTCTGTCAAACTACTGCCAAAGTCGCTGCTTTAAGTGAGCAAAAAACCAACAAAAGAGCGTTAGGCATTTCTGAAGTGTTTCAAAATCTAAAGTCTCTCTCCACCTCGCCAAGTCTATGGGCATTAATCGCTGGTTTCCTTGCAAATGTAGAGAGTGTCACAATTAGCAGAGCTTACGTGAACTTTGTTCTTATCGCCCATTTGTGAAGGAGTTCCTCAACTTTGAGAACAGAAACAAAAATTCTTCTGAAACTCAGATATGTAATGCATTTTACAGCACTCTATAGATGTGTCTTCAGCCGATTCTTAAGAGCTTAAGCACTCGCTTTACAACACAGCATAAAGGTTCTTCCTGACAGAAGCTACAGATACAGACTTGTTAACGTCTCTGGAGGATTCGCTCCTAGAAAAAAATATATCCAGGACAACTTTATGATTTCAGTTGAAACACAGAAGGGTAAACCTAAATAATCCATATTTCTTAAATACAAATTAATTTAAGTTGGTTATAACAATATGTAAAAGTAGTTGATTTGTACATACTGTATAAAAAGACAGCTCTGAACTGCTACCAGAAATTACCCAAGAACAGATCCTTACTGCAAAACTATCAATCAATTAATTTGAAGACAACAGAGGGGAAAAGCAGCTAAACAGATGTGCTTACAGGAGAACAACCACCACATAAGAAGTCCTGTCAAATAAGCAGCAACTCAAGGCTTTCCCTGTACAGCCCTGGAATTACCCCAGCTGCTGTTAAACCCTGGAAAAGCAGCCAAGTTCCATCATCCTGTCACTTGTGCAGGTCCGCTTTGCATGTTTGCTCTGCTGCTTTTATGTTCTCACACAGGTTATTCTAGTGTTTACTACAAATAAGCACAGGCAGAGCCAGTTCTCTTTCAGAGCTGTCTTAAACCCAGCCTGCCACCGTCCCCTGGCTGGGTGCTTCGCACACGGTACATGCTGTGCTAGTAAAATGCTTATCTGTGCGCCTGTTTGGCTGTCTGGTGCCGCAGCCACCATTGGCTCGCTCCCTTCTGTTTTAGCTACCAAGAGCCAGTGATGCGATATCACTGCTGGAATGCACAACAGCTTCGCTGATGGTGCTGGCTGTGGAGGGGGAAGGGAAAAGCAAAAATTCTTTTTGAGGAAAATTAAAGACTCCTACAGCACTCTTATCCTTCACTAGGGTCAGCCTAAGATTAGGATTCCTTTTAGGCTATCCGTGCCTTGATGTAAAAAGAACCCACCTTTTCCTCAGTCCAGTTCTCAATACACAGTAATTTCAGCTCCACTTTTTCATCCCAAAAATCTGAGGCTTGGGAGGCTTTAAGTCCTCTTCAACCTGATTTCAATGTTCTGAGACTTTCAGATTTTGTTAAGAGTGGATTAAGTATCAAGTACGACAGTGTCACCTGAGGCCACAGAGTCCTTTGTAACAGTTCTTAAAACAGAGATTAACTCCTTGACTAAATCAACTCAAACTCGATCCACGAGAGTCATAGGAGGTTAAAAACAACCAGAAACAGTCGGAGAAAAGTACAGAGGGCTACAAAATTCCAACAAGCTCGTCCTTCCCAACACGTGCTTTGCTCCAGAAGCAAACAGTACTGTCTGATTTGCTAAGCAAATTTGAGTTTATCTGGACATCACTAGGACAATAGCTTAAAGCTGAAGGAATTAGTACTTTCACTGTTACACTATTTTAATAGTTGCAAAGTTCGTGTTTGCTTTCCTGAACACAAGCAAACAAAGCAAAATAGCCAAACAACTAGATAAATTCATCAGCCGCAGAAGTTTTATTAAGAGCCGAGCATTACGTACTGCTCCACAGGCTAAACAGCCCTATAAAGGCATTTAGACATGTCATTTGCATAGCAAACAAAGAACAAACTGATGAGCATTTCTAGCAACACAGGCAAGACAAATATCACAACTGCTTACAAACACCACGGCACCTTCAACTGCACCACACAAGAAGGGGTAACAACATTACACTGCCACTATTTTATCCCATTAACCTAAAACAATGAAAAAAAGCAGTCTTAGTTTATTTTAATACTTAAGAAAAAGTTGCATTAGGATAATTCCAATGAGGGGAGTATTAAATTCTTGCTGTCAGAAAAATGTCCACTTCAAAATCCAAGAAGAAACAGGGAAGCAGTGGTGGGGAAGGATGGGAAGCTCCTTAGCAAGAACATCCTCAGCTCCAGATAACACAGGCAGTTTTCAGACATTCACCAACAGGCCTGAGGACATTTTTTCTACTCAAAGTTGCCAGTCAAGATTTTTACATCTCAAGCTATAAATTAAGTTGTAAAAGCTGTTTTGGACTGGGAGGTGCTGCAGCCATTGCATACACAGACTTGCGGCTGGTAACTTTTCCTGGAACATCACAGGACGGGTTTGAAGGCAGCAGGGGAGTTTCTGACAAGATCATTTTGATCAAGCAGCGTCCCACCCCAAAGAGCATTTTTAAGACTTCTCAAGGCACGTCTGGGTAAAAGACAGCGTGGCAGGTGAAACTGGCAAGACCTTAATCCTTACTTTCCACAGGATCCTTATTTGGCTTTATAGAGAATGTGCCTGCTACAGGCTTGGCTTTCCCATTCACCTCATCCATTCAAACCCTGTCTCGCTACTCAAAGCCGCAAGCAAAAGCCATCTCTCCTCCCCGAGTAGGAACCTTCAATTCCAGGCTACATCAAAAGTGACAAAAAAAAAAGTCTCCTGTTACTCAAGTACCTTTTGAAGGGCAACACTCAGTTATGATTTATTTGTAGCTAACAGAAAGAGCCATCTCCTACCCCTCTCAACCTTTAAGTATATTTAGTGGCATTGGTTATGAATATGCAGGCAAACTCCTCCACTACACTCCTCCCCTGCACAGCACCAGGCCACAGCATTGCCTGCACTGTCCGCGGTGACAGAGCGCACAGGGACAGCCTCAGTAAGTTTATGTTGACACTGCTGCTGAAGTTCTATTTTATGCAAGCTGCAACAGCCAAGGCCTTGCTGGGTTATCAGAACAGTGAACGGCTTAGTAGGACCCCACCAGAGCTCCGTTCTAAACTCTTAGAAGCTTCAGAATTTAAATGAAGATCAGCGATCGGCCAGTACGCCACAGAGCCTGTGATGAAGCTTCCATCACAGCAGCTCCTTCCCCAGCACCACCACTGCCTTCATGTCCTGTCCATCCCTCGTGTCCCGTCCATCCCCTCGTGTCCTGTCCATCCCCTTGGTCCCATCCATCCCTCGTGTCCTGTCCATCCCTTATGTCCTGTCCATCCCTCATGTCCCATCGCTCATGTCCCGTCCATCCCCTCGGTCCCGTCCATCGCTCATGTCCCGTCCATCCCCTCGGTCCCGTCCATCCCTTATGTCCTGTCCCATCCCTTGTGTCCTGTCCATCCCTCGTGTCCCATCGCTCATGTCCCGTCCATCCCCTCGGTCCTGTCCATCCCTCATGTCCCGTCCATCCCTCGTGTCCCGTCCATCCCCTCATGTCCCGTCCATCCCTCATGTCCCATCGCTCATGTCCCGTCCATCCCCTCGGTCCCGTCCATCCCTCATGTCCTGTCCATCCCTTATGTCCTGTCCCATCCCTTGTGTCCCATCCATCCCTTGTGTCCGGTCCATCCCTCGTGTCCCATCGCTCATGTCCCGTCCATCCCTCGTGTCCCGTCCATCCCCTCGTGTCCTGTCCATCCCCTTGGTCCCATCCATCCCTCGTGTCCCGTCGCTCATGTCCTGTCCATCCCTCGTGTCCCGTCCATCCCCTCGTGTCCTGTACATCCCCTTGGTCCCATCCATCCCTCGTGTCCTGTCCATCCCTTATGTCCTGTCCATCCCTCATGTCCCATCGCTCATGTCCCGTCCATCCCTCGTGTCCCGTCCATCCCTTATGTCCTGTCCATCTGTCATGTCCTGTCCATCCCTCGTGTCCCGTCCATCCCCTCGTGTCCTGTCCATCCCCTTGGTCCCATCCATCCCTCGTGTCCTGTCCATCCCTTATGTCCTGTCCATCCCTCATGTCCCATCGCTCATGCCCCGTCCATCCCCTCGGTCCCGTCCATCGCTCATGTCCCGTCCATCCCCTCGGTCCCGTCCATCCCTTATGTCCTGTCCCATCCCTTGTGTCCTGTCCATCCCTCGTGTCCCATCGCTCATGTCCCGTCCATCCCCTCGGTCCTGTCCATCCCTCATGTCCCGTCCATCCCTCGTGTCCCGTCCATCCCCTCATGTCCCTCCATCCCTCGTGTCCCGTCCATCCCCTCATGTCCCGTCCATCCCTCATGTCCCATCGCTCATGTCCCGTCCATCCCTCGTGTCCCGTCCATCCCTTATGTCCTGTCCCATCCCTTGTGTCCTGTCCATCCCTCGTGTCCCATCCATCCCTCGTGTCCCATCGCTCATGTCCCATCCATCCCCTCGGTCCTGTCCATCCCTTGTGTCCCGTCCATCTCTCGTGTCCCGTCGCTTGTGTCCCATCCATCCCCTCGTGCCCCATCCATCCCCTCATGTCCTGTCCATCCCTTGTGTCCCACCCCTCACACCCCTTTCCTTGTGTCCCATCCCCCATCCCTCACCTCCCATCCCCTCACGCCCTCTCCCCTCGCATCCCCTCTCGCCCCGTGACCCTCCATGGCCAACACACCACAGGTGGGTTTTTGAGTACAGAAACACTTAAAGACGTCCTTTTATTATAAAGTCCGTCACCAATGTGTCCTCGGGAGCTCTGCAGCTGCAGGGCTGGCAGTGGCAGGGGCCATCAGGTGCTGCGGGGCCTG